CATACTACAATAGAAAAAATGGAAATTCATTGTAACAATAAATTTTCAAACAAAAGTAATGTTAAACTTTTTTTTTCATCAGAAAATATCTAGAACAACCTTTAAAAAATAGGTTTACCAAAATAGATGAATATAAGCAACTTTTTTTAGAACCTTAATGAAAATATTAAAAAATAAGCAAACTTAACTTAAAATAAAACTTTATTAAAATTTTAATAAAATCATTATACTGAAAAACTCATCGTATAATTTTGTTTTCATTTACTTAAAGTAAACATCATATACTGACTTCAAACTCAAAGTTTTCAAAACTATTTGAATAGATTTTAAACATCTACAAAAACTAGGTATACTTTTTGCTTAAGTTCATACTTAAAATTTCATTTCTTAGAACACATCTATTCAATAAAATAAAATAACTGAACGTTTTTTTTTTGTAATTATTTTTTTTATTTGATTAAATACTTATCATTCTCTTATGATTATAGCAAAATATATTTTGTATTAGCCAAGAAGTATTTTTATATATGCGTAATATTAAACTTTTGTTTGAAATTTCATTCGAAAACGTTCTTATTGTAATTCAGTAAATTATTTGCAACATAAAGTTTTAGATACATCAACAAATATATTTAAGTTTTTATTTTTGTTCTTATTTGCTATAGTTTTGTATTTATTTAAAAAAGCATCATTTCTATCTAATTTTATTTTATTTAAAATATATCTAAGTTAGCGAATTTAGAATTAAAAGAGGGTTCGGTAAAATGGAGTAAAAATAGCATACGAAGCAAAAGGACCAAAAGTAACAGCAACAATAAAAGGCAAAGTCACCTTCTACTAACTAAAAAAAAGGTGTTCGCAGAATGTTTAGACGTGAGACGAGGAAAGTCGTTAAGACGGCTATGCATGTGTTCTAACGATTTTTTGAAAGACCTGTGTTACCATCGCTTTGGGGCTATTGAAAGCACCGGTAGACGTTTACAAATTACAGTAGTTTTTTAAACATTGAAAGTGGCTAACAAAAGCAGGAAATGATAAAACGATTTTACCGGTTTTATTACATTGTTACCGTAAAAAAAGATGCTTTCCAATTTCCCATAGCCGTTGAATTAGGTTATTATTTTATTTTATATGAAATCCCACTTAGCCACATTACAAAATAGCAATAACAGTTTAACTCTCTACATCTGCATACGAAAGTCAGTGTTATAAGTAACATCGTATTTCTTAAAAAAGCAAAAAGTTCATACAAAATTGTTGTTTCTCTATTAATAGCTACAGGTAGCAGTTAAAGTAGTACAGTCATGAGCTTTAACTCGTACTATTTAGCTGAAAATAAACTGATACCACGACAAAATAGTAGTGTATTTATTTATTTTTATTTTATGTACAAGTAACTACATACAATTGCGGATAAGATGAGGGAAAATAGACTTGGATGATCACGTTATGGTTTAGTCATGTTATGGGATGAGAAGCCGTAAGAACAGTTGCAGAAATTAATGTTGAAGGATGACCAAAAAAGAGATGGAGAGATGTTATTGAATTCGATATGAGGACAGTTGATGTGAGCGTAGAAGATGAGGGAGATCGTGTCAAGTAGAAATTTAAGATAAGGGTGGCCGATCCCAAGTAGTGGGGATTAAGGCGAGGAAGTAGAAGAAGATGTACAAGTAACTATTTGTCTAAAACATTTTATAAATTATTTAAATTAATCTCAGAATGGAAATGAATACCACGCCAATATAGTAAACTGTGAGTTATTAATCTGATTTTTTAATTAAGGAAAATGCAATCTTTCCATAAAAGTTTTAATAGTCAAAATTAACCTTACATTGTATAATTGTTTCCTTGGTGTTGCGATTGGCATTCAACTAATGAATAATTTGCTTCCTGTCGAATTGAAACACGAACAATTGCATACCTAAAAGCTGGAAAGTCATTTATTAAACCAACTAAGTCTTATGGTTTTACGCGTTTTACCGTAACTGTTTGCCAATCGTTTGAAATGATACCCTACGGGTAACTTGTTCCTATAGATCTGCCTTATAGTTATCCACATGGGAGTACCAGTTAAAGCCATACGCTAACTCGTGATGCCAAACTGTCCAAAGTGCATGCCAAACTAATCTTTGGGGAAATTTTCCTTTAAGTATGCCCCTAACAATGAAATTCATGTAAATAAAATAATGTGTATTTTTATTTTTCCTCAAGCTTGAATATATTTCATAGATAGTTTGACTCATAATTTAGTTAAAAAAAACGACCATCTGATGATGTTACACATTTTGGTTTCAATGCGTATCTGAGAATTTTTTTTTTGTATCTGTACATATAAATATTCTGCTCCTACTAAACAGATTTTAATCAACGATACGCTGGAAGATCACTCGTATCTAGCTAAAAATATTAACGTCATAATTTGGAGAAATTCCCCTTAATTTCCATAATAAAAGGAAATGTCTAAAATAATTTAGATTGTTAAAAATAGTCAATATTGTTTCAATAATTTATAGTTTCTACTTTGCATTGAAATAACTTTTTCAAAACTAAAAGTGCTACAATTAATATACATCTAATAAATGTTTGTTTTGCAAGACTTTTAAGGTATTAATTAATTTAAATTAAACAAATTTGTACTGATGAGAAATCAATTAGTAAGTTTATCACTTTTAAACTACGTAATATTTTCAAATATGTAAATTAGTAATGTTTTATAATTAAAATAATCCGCATGATTGATAAATAATTACTCAGAATCTATCCGATAAATAATAGTATGTAGTTCAAAATTCGGAATTATGTTTAAATTTGAAAATCAATGTGTCCTCATTTTGGGTTACCTTTTTGTACATAAACAGAGGGGAATTTCATTGCATTTACTAGCCAATTATTGAGCTCAATCCTTAATTTTCCGATTCAGTCGTTCGCAAAACTATCATGAACGATAATTTGCTGAACGAGAAAAACAAATTGAGACGGGTTTATTTTTCGAGGAGACCGGAAGATAGAAACTAACTCGAATATTATGCAACCACTCGGGATCTTTTTTTACGTCATCACTTAGACACCCCGTTGTTATAATATCATGAAGGTAAAACAATTTTAGTACTTCTTCTGGTTTGTGGTCACGATAACTGCATGGCTTAAACATAAAGATAATCATTTGCTTTTCTCGGTAAGAGTATTCCATATGCGTTTGTGACTTGAGACTGTTCAATTTCCAATAGATCACAGGAAATACACCACACACATAAATAAGTACACTGTGCGTTTGTGCGCGTTTAATATAAAAAAAGCTTTTCTCTTTGAAAGGAATTACTAGATGGCGAAATATAGTGGAAAATGAGTAACTCATATCGACGAACGGAGACGAGCAACCGATTTAAATATTATTACGATTTTCTCTTTTTCTCTTCAATTTCTTTCTTTGCTGCAGTTCTCTTTAACGAAAGTCTTAGATATGTCTAAGCGTTCGCATACAACGCTGCAGTATTATTATTATTTATTGGCGTGTACAAAAAAATCGACTGAATGTAACACTCGAGGGAATACCGACCACTATTACCAGCTTTTTTCACATCCCAAGAGAGTAACTCATACCACCAAGGAAGGACACATATCCAAATTGATAAAATAATAAAGTACGTTTCAAACTGCATATAACTTATGTAATATAATGGATATTTTTCCATTCTCTTTTACTCTTTTGCTTGATTGCGAACGCATGCATTACTAAGTTTCTTCGAAAAATAACAAAATTTGAAAGCAAAAAAATAGAATTTTTTTTTCAAATATAATTCTTTGATTAATCCAATAGAAACCCTTATTTATACGCATAAGTAGTGGAAAAAAACATCGAATGCACACACATAATTATACAAGTTAACATATATTATCTCTTTGTGTCAATTTTATAAGAAATAAATTAGACGATTAAAAACAAATTTCATTTTGGTACAATGAAAACTTTATATAGAATGTTCAGTAAGTCAGGAAACGGGTTTCTATTTTTCTTGTTGTTTGTAACAATTTATCTATTTCCTTATTTAGTGAACACTCATTTTATTGATCTATACATGTTTTTTTATTTTTAAAGACAATTGACATTTGATTTACATTTGTGTAAAACATTAGATTAAAATAACCAAATTATCGATAAAAGATCATTTTTAAAATATACTGCATATTTTAACTGATATTTTTTTTACTGTTTACAAGTGAAATTATTATAATATAAAGGGTAATATTATTAAATTCAATAAATTATGCCATATTATTAAAGATTAAGTTTTGTTAATAAAAATTTTAATTGAAAAGTACATTATTCCTTAATAAAATATAGGCATTAACAAAAACCTTGATTTTAAAAAAAAATATATAAAAAATAGCTTTAGTCTATAAAAAATTTAACATAAAGTTTAAATACTAAAAAAAAACAGCATAACAATAAACCTTTGTTTGATTTATAATACATTTTAAATTAGAAAACGAATTGAAACTTTAATATAAGATTGATGAACAATAAATATAACTTATTTATTGTTCAATTTTAGTTTACCTGAAATAATCTAAGTTCAAAAATTGTTTGCATAATAATACCGTTTAATTTTTAGTTAGGTAAAAGCTCTTCTATAGCGTATTCTACTTTATTAAATATACATTTTCTGTTCGACTTATTAGTTCCACCAAATTATGCTATTAAGTAAAGCTAATGCATTGGTTATTAAAGAAAAACTACGGGTTGTAAATTTTAAACAATTATTTATTATTATGATTTTGTTCAGTTTATTTATTTAAGTTGTATAGTACCATGAAATGATTGAAATAAAATTACAGTGTTTCTTTAACATAATGGGTGCTATTATACTTAATCGTATGATTTATTTTATAATTATTACTGAATAAATTATAGGTGTCTATTATGTAAAGTGTACATAAGTCCGATAAATATATACGTCTCTATTGTTCAATTAAATAACTGTTGTATCATTTTACAGATATGGATCCTCAAGAAATGTATCCATCTATGGATCCGAACAAGATACCAAAGTTCATGACAAAACCTAACACATTTCGAGTTGTAACCAAAGACACTATTGTATTACCATGTGAAGTATATAATCCAGGTAAGTCGGATTACACATTTCTTTGACTAATGAACTGTAGTCATAACTTATACAAGGCATCATATTCAAAAAAATTCTCTTTTGACTTTGTAATCAAATCATTTGTCTGCTTTTATAAATTTATTTATTATTTTTTTATCAGATTATGGTATATTAAAATTATTCTTTGTTTACTACTAACAAAATTACGAGTATTTTTTAAATTCCAAAATAATTATTATGGGCAATAAATATAAGTAAATACAAATAACATAATAACTCAACTAATTATGAACAAACTATGTTACTTGTAAACATAATTTAACAATACATTTGATCGATTTTGGGTAATGTTCACCTTTTTTTAGATACTATTGAACATTTTTAAATTTGTAAAGAAAAAAATGATTTGGTTCAAAAAAATATAACTTTATGTAGTAAATTTGTTTTTTTATACTTAAGTGATAAAAATCTGTCATTGTTTTTTTTTTTTTTAATGACAACCCCCTTTTTTTTCTTAATAATATGATAGAAAAAATTACAAAATATTCAGACCTTCTATATTTTATTTTAAAAGAAAACAGAAATTTTTGTTTAATTTACCACATAAACTATTTTATTGACTAATTTGAATGTCCTATATACAGAAAGTTTTTTTGTTTTAATTTCTATTCATTACATTTTTATATTTATCTCAAGTTTACCGTCGTATGTTGTTTATGACTGGTTTGGAAATTTTTTTTTTTGTAACTATCATAAAAAATAATTATGTCCTTTTGAAACAGATTATTGCTTCCTACGGTATTAATAAATACAAATTAATTACAAATTTTAACTTTATTTTTTTTTTTAATTTTCACTTCAATTAAACTTTTAACTGATTAAAAAAATTGTTACCACAATTTTTTTTATCATATTATATCATTGATTATGAAATTAAAAATAGGAGCTTTTATTTAAGAAAATTAAGGTTATTATCTACAAAAGGAAATAAAAAATGATTTTATTATATATTAGTGCTGAGTGGTTTAACCCACATAATTTTTCTATTTATAAAAATTAAAAATGTCCAGTAGTTTATAAAAAAACTACTGTCTAAACAAGAACTTACTGTCAAACTCCATTTGACTAAAGTAGTCAAATTTCCCTAATGATAGGGAAAAAGTTTTTTTTTATAATTTTTAAGAAAAATATTTGGTAAACTACATTTTTATAAACTAGGTCAATTTCTTGACATATACAAGAAAAGGCATTTATAAAACTATCTAATTTATGAACTGAAATAAAGATTAAAAAATATATATATATATATATATATATATATATATAATCGGAAAACTTCAATTGTGTCAGATTTTAATTATTAAAAAAAAAAGATTAATGTATGAAAACATATATTGAATATAGTCATCAGCGTTTACTAAACGGTAAGGCTCTAGTTTATCAATTCGCGAGTGCCACAAAAGTAACAATATTTAATACTATAATTTAACTTAAGTAAGCAAAAAAAAAGTCATCGTCCTTCGATAAAATTTAATTCGTACCAATTTATTGTATCGGCGGCTCCTTTTTCAAGTGAAACCAGTACAAATATTCCAATTGTCCTCCAATAATAAATTGTACTGTTTACACGCTGTTTGAAGCAAAACATATAAATATGAGCAAAATACTTATGACATAGCTAAGTTTGATATTAAACTATTTTTCGGAACCGATAAAGTTTTGTTCAAACTTCTATCTAGACATTTATATAAAATATTAAAACATTTTATCAGGAAATTCCTATACAATAATAGAGTTAATTGTTGAAAATTATTAAGTTGCTCTTAATTACATAAAATTTGTATAATTATTCATACAAACATAAAATTAATGATGTATTTACTGGACTTTGTTTTTATTGTATAAACTATTTTCGTGAAACTATAATTTCAATAAAAATAATCTCCACATTTTGAAACATAAAAAATATACGTACATGATAAAGTTTGTTGTCAGGGTTTCATTAATTTTTTTAACTTAGCTGTTAGGCATTTTATTGTTATTCTGGAATGCATTTAGCATTTTAATCTGTAGATATTTACTGATTAACTGCAAAAACCTTTTAAGCGAATCTGTTATCTTCAAAAGTCACTTGTATTATATTTTAAATTTGCAAATATAAAAAACAGTTGACGTCGCTCAAATGAAAAACTAAATTATCTAATTTCATTCTTTCCACTTCGAAGTGCTCATCAAAAATAAAATGCGTGTGTCTGATTTTTGACGCATGAGAGAATGATGGTTTGGACGGTTAAGAAGGTATAGAAGTAAAAGTACATTTAAATATAAATGTAAATGGGTAAAGTTTCGAACTGCTTTTTATTTTCATTTTTATTTTGTGATGCATTATCTTACCATGCAAGGATATTAATATGTGGGCTAGCTGGCTGTTGAAATTCTATTCGTTTAAAATAACTATCCTTAAATAAANTTTGTGATGCATTATCTTACCATGCAAGGATATTAATATGTGGGCTAGCTGGCTGTTGAAATTCTATTCGTTTAAAATAACTATCCTTAAATAAATACCCTTTACTTGCAAAATGGACTCCATTCTTTAGATTGTAAAACATTTAACAAACAATTTATTTATTTATTAAAATATGTAGTCGTATTTACAACGTTTTCATTGAATAATTTAGCTTTCTGTACATAACTCTTTCTAATATTAATTCATTGGAAATACATGCTTTATTTTCCATCTTTTACTATAATTGGATCAAGTCTATCCATTTAATTTCATTCGTATTAAACTTTGATTGGGATACCAAATCCAATCACATCGTAAATGCATTTGGTGATCTTTTTTGTTTCATTGCAATAAACCAAAATAAAAATGAAAAACTAAAAAGTAACATAATAAGGGTGTTCAAAATGTTAGGGAAACGGTAAATTTTAAAGATGGCCAGACATATAGCAGTTATGGTCAAATTAATCAAAAGAACATAAATATCTCCAAAAAAAATGAAAGAGAGAATGATAAAATAATAGAGTGATCTCGGGGGTTGGACGATATTGAGTAAGTGATGCTAAATATCCTTCACAAAACTTTATAATTTATCTGAGTGGTTTATTTAACATTGATTGTTTGTGGTTTATAACATGAATTAAATGTGCACTTATCTTATAAACTATGTCGTGTAATAATGTTTTAAGTAACCTAATGTTGATTCCGTTTGTTGAATGCAATGATTCTAAAAAGTAATTATTCGTTAATAATTCAAGAAATTAATGCAACTAAAAGAAATCAAATTTTTTTTTAAATATTGAATTTATTTTGAGAATAATCGGGTGGCTTATGATAAAACAATCACTTTGTTTATATGTTGTTTTTAATGTGTTTGAAAGCAACATAATACAATTTTCAACATGTTCTGTCATTATTTTAGTAATGAAATAAAAAAGATGTTGTGAACCCCGTACCTTGTCGATTTATACATCATAATTCACTAGTGACTTGCACAAATATGTAACCCGAATTTCTTCTTTATACTTTCTAAATTGACCCTCGCAAATCGTTGGAAAATATAGATATTCGTCAAATAGACACTTATTGGAATACTATTTTTATTAGGTAGCACATCAAAAATTTATCTTCATTCCACATGAGAGTTTGTTATTTTATTGTGAAATTAACTTTTATATACCACCAACCTGTTCACTTACATCATCAATTTGAAATTTTGTATTAAAGTTAATAGAACTCGATATTAAAGAATATGTCGATGATGATACTGTAATGAATGTAAGTAGCGTGTTTATCAAATATGTTAATAAATCTTTTATATTATTTTTATTAATAAGTCCATGAATATAACTTGTCTTGTCGAAAAATGTATTTCTTATGTGAACATAAACACAATTACATAATCTATATATCGGGGTAATTTATTCACCATAATGTTATTATTTTTTCTTGTATTTATGTTTAAAGTTCTCTCTAAAAGCTAATGCTTCTACCAAAAAGAACAGCGACCATAAAAAACTTAGCGCAATAGAATTGAACACTAGTACCTTTACACGAAAGCAAAACGAGTTATCGAATATGTTAGGTAGGACCTTCTAGTCATTTTTTTACAATATTCACATATCATAGATCATATTTATTCGGTATGATATTCAACGATACCGGAACATTTATAATTTATCCAAAAATACCAAATTTTTTTAGAAATGTGTCGTAATCATTTAATTTACATTAATGATGCTCTTAGAGATATTAGCCACTGGCAAATCAAATCCGATTGTAATAAATTTAGTGGTTTAACAAGTTTGGATTCAAAATCCATTATACATTAATAGTTTATAATACAAAACATACTTCCTTTAGTGTAATCCGGTAATATTTTTGGAGAATATTTCATAGTTTTATAATAATGATTTTAGATAAGTTTTCTTTTACAAAAATTACACTCATATCTTTTCATACATTCTATGGAATTTATTGAAGAATTGTGTTTTTCCTACAATCTTTGTAACGTCGAACAGGCGTTAAAAAATCAAATGTATCAGTTGCTTTCTGATTATTTTCAGTATATAAAGTAAAAATTTGTTGTCTCTACTCTAACCAATTTCTTGCTACTTGTTATAATTAATGTGGTACAAATTGATATACTTTTATGTTAAGATTTAACTTTATAAAATAATTTTAGTGTGTAAATATTTTTCAAGCGAATAATAAACATTGCAAATTAATGTAACGATTTTGTATGTTAGATGTAAATATATTAAGAAGCAATCCTTAAAAAATTATATTTAAATAAACAATTTTCAAAAATTTTATATTTATATTTGTATTATTTTGTAAACAGCAGCAATTTTGTTTAATTTATTTCCTTTAACATTTAAGATTTTTTTTACACTGATATATAAAGTGATTTATTATCTAAGTCTCATGCAATAATTATGTGAAAAAACAGTTTTTAGCTTTAATGCGAAGCTAAGAAGGTATTTTTTTACTATGATGTGTTTTTTTTTTT